TTAAAAGATTAATAATGCAGAATAAATCCCGTTTAAATAAAAGGGAATGGAGAATATTTCATACAAACAACGAATTGAGTAAATTTCAATGCATTTTTAACCATGAAATAGTAAGTAAATTCATTGATTTAACTTTTAAACAAATTATCTTTAATGTTTTTAAATTATTTATAATAGCCGATACCTAAATGTGATCCAAATACTTTCTATGCGTTAAATATGCCATTAAAAGGGAGATTGAAGAATTTTTATCGAGCCGGTTATAAAGGAAAAAAGGTATTTTTTTAACTTTATTAATATTAATTTATAAAAATATGTTTTATAGTTGCAGTATGTTAACGAATTAATGAGAAAAATTCATAAATTAACCATGATAGCTTCGAAAAATCACCAAACAATTGATATATTTGAAACGATTAGGAATATAATTCCAAAAGAATTTCTTGGAACATCTCACCATTACAAATTGTATTTGAAAATTGTTAAAAAAATCCTTTCCCAGTCTAGAAATGAGCACATTTTCGTTAGAGACATAATCAGGAATTACAATTTCAACGAAATACCTTGGTTGAAAGGTTTTAACCAAAAACAACACATTAATTATTTATATTTCGTAAGTATTAACCGACATAATCACTTTTAATTTCACCAAATTAATTATTAGCCTCTCATTTGGAGTTTGGACGCTGTTAAATATCTAATACGGAAACGATTTTATTTCCTTCCTCACCGTATTTATCCATTTAGAACAGATTTAGTCCCACATTCGATTTATAAACGTTTCAAAAAAAGGGTAATTCAATTTCAAATTAAAAATAAGTTAATTAATGAATTGTTTTATAGGTTATAAATGTAATTTTGAAGAAAAAGTATGCAATTCCAATAAATTTTGATGATGTTAATAAAACGGAAATTAAAGGGGTTGTTCGATTTTTACCAAAACGTGAATTAAATGATTTAAAATTTCGACCCATTATAAAGATGACTAAAAAACGGTTAATAACATTAAGTGTAATTAAATTTTGAAGGTTAATTAATAATTTTATTTAAGACCATGGGATGTCGTTCGAAAATATTGTTTATATTTAAAAAATTACGCCTCTAATTTATCTGGAACTCAAACGGGACAATTTTATCAACCTTGGTTGGATTATTTGCGTAAAATTGGAGATAAAAAAATATATTTTGTAACAGTGGATGTATCCGACGCTTTTGGAAGGGTCGAAATCGATGTTTTAATTCAATTAATTCAAAATATGAACGTTAATGTAAGTATTGCTTCATTTTTATCTAATTGTTTAAATATTTCATTAATTCATTGATGCGAAGTTAGGTGATTTTGTGAGAACTCACTTCACACATCTTATGTCAAGTGTCAAGTGACAGTTGTCAAATTTTCTAACCTACGAATATTGTAATTAATAAGTACGATAATTATCCTAAATTTTGCAATAATTATTAAAATTCGTATACAATAATATATTGATATGTATATGTATTATATAGTGTGTTAATTAATTATCGTACCCGAACCCGACGTCATTATTGCAAGTATGCAACCAATATCACACTATTCGTATTAAATACGCGATTTGTATATGGAACTGATTTTGATGAAAAAAATACAATTAATGGTACAATAACATGTATGCACGAAGTAAAATTAAAATTAGTGCAGAAGAATGCCAAGAACGAATAATGGAGAAATAAATAATAGAAAAATTAATACCAAAAAAATTTGACAGTCTTAAAACTAACACGTACCTGATACGTGGAAGATTGAAGAAGTTTTAGATTTTGAGATATCATGAGAATTTTCGTTTTTATTCGCTTATTAAATTCGTTATTTTTTTCTGATTACAAAAATATGAGGTTAGATAGGTCTATTTGTTATCGTTTTAGAATAAAGCTAAAAATAAAGTTTTTTTATAAAATTTCCATCTAGTGTCGTCGAGGAAATTAAATTTACAGTTTCCTGTAAGTTACGGGGCGGTAGGTAAAATCTAAAAAGTTAACAATTAAATACGAAGATAACTTCTGGTATTTAAAAACAAATAATTTTTTAATATGTAACATTCTAACATGTCAAACTTTTCAAAATTTTCGTAATTGATCTTAAAAACAGGATTTTTAAAGTGACACTTCAGAAAATTTTTGAATACAAACAAATGTTGCTATGTTTATTTGAATTAAAAAAAAAAAAATGAGCGCCATCTATCGATAATTTATTAAGTCATTTAAAAATAATATTAAATCGTAATAAAAAATGTGAAATAATGCAATCTATTCCAACTTTTGTGTAAAACATATATAAATTAAACAGTTCAACAAATATATTTGTTTCAAATATCAGAAATATGTTTTTTTAATTTTTAGTTATAGAACCGTAATTTACAGGAAACTGTAAATTTAATTTCTTCGACGACACTAAAAGAAAAGTTTATTTTTAGTTTTATTCTAAAACAATATTAAATAGACCTGTCAAACACTATATTTTTGTAATCAGAAAAAAATAACGAATTTATTAAGCGAATAATCAGTGGTTAACATCTAAAAAAACGAAAATTGTGATAATATCTCAAAATCTAAAACCAACAAAATTTTTTGACTACGTCATCAAATTCTCTGTAAAAAAGTGTCCATATAATGTTACTCCACCTATAATAATAACCAAGATAATTAAAAAGACCCTCAAAGTTATCAATAAACAACAAAATATAGTAGTACAATATACAAGCATATTTTTAAGAGTTGACAACCACGTTAATCTTCTCTTTAAAAATGAAAACGCCAACGAAGATTAAAAAGGATTAAGCCATTTAATCTTGCCTAGTGAGTAACAGTGGTAAATAGTATAATTAATTTAATAGTGTCTTCTGAAAACCACGTAACTGGTTCGTTAGAACTTTTTCAGCTTTTTCAGGTTCCACTACAGTAAATAAGTATACTAATGTTTACAGATAAAATGTAGAGAATTAAATTCCCTTTCGGATAGCTTAATAAAATATTGGGCGTTTCATTTAAAATTTTCGACTTTCTTGGGGTTGAATATGAAGAAACGGTAATTCAATTTTTGGCCATCCTGTATAAAATACTCTGATACAATAAATGAGGAGTGAATCCGAAAGTCAGATTTACACTAGGAAATATCACTATGTCATGTGATTTAATAAAAAATACATTATCAAAGAACACCATATAATTTCTCTATTATATGATAACTAACTTCAGGTGTAAAATGTCAACCTCAATTTTGACATATTTGTAATCTTCATTAAAAAACCTTTAAAATGAGTACAAACACGACATATTTATCTTCAATATTAACGAAGTTATGGTCAACTTCCGGTTAGAAATGTCAACCTCAATTTTGACATATTTGTAATCTTCATTAAAAATCCTTTAAAATGAGTACAAACACGACATATTTATCTTCAATATTAATGAAGTTATGGTCAACTTCCGGTTAAGAATGTCAACGTCAATTTTGACATATTTGTAATCGTCGTGAAAAATCCTTTAAAATGAGCCCAAACATGATACGTTTAATTCCAATATTACTCGAGATATAAGTAACTTCCGGTTTGAAATGTCAATGTCATTTTGATATATTCTTACTTTTTATGAAATGTCTTAAAATTTGTCACAAAAACAAAAATATAATAAAAAAGAACAGAAATTAAGGTTGGTATTAATATTTAAAAATTAAATTGCTATCTTCATTGTTGCCAACTTCGGGTTTAATACTTTTTGTTTTAACTTTTTTGTTTTTTGAGATAAATGCGTCATGTTTGGACATATTTTAAAAGTTTTTTAATAAAAAATACATCATCAAAGAACACCATGAAGTTGTCGATTTCGTATTTATAACTAACTTCAGGTGTAAAATGTCAACCTCAATTTTGACATATTTGTAATCTTCATTAAAAATCCTTTAAAGTGAGTACAAACACGACATATTTATCTTCAATATTAATGAAGTTATGGTCAACTTCCGGTTAGGAATGTCAACGTCAATTTTGACATATTTGTAATCGTCGTGAAAAGTCCTTTGAAATGAGT